TCAACGGGTAATGGTTTGGGCATCATAATTCCAATTTGCTACAAGTCACCCACATTTTCTAGGTGATCCACCCCACAAATCTTAAACACATGTTGTTTCAGTTCCCATTTTTGCTGGTAAAAGTCGACCTGGTGGCCAGAATCACCAATTGTAAGTGGCTAAGATAGCCAGGACATCTACATCTGAGTCTACCCAGTTACAAGGGGCCAACCCAATCACCAGTTACGTAACTTCATGGCCCCCCAAAGTGCAGATATTCAAAAAAAAAGAATCATTTCCCCTACTAATTTCGAAAACAAAAACCCAAACCTCCCAGATTTGTTGGTTGATTTACAGTCAATTCCTGAATTCCTATTTTTGGTTGGTGAAATCCATATACCATCATATACCCTCTGGCGGGTTTGTCTGAAATGAAGGATTTACCGCACATTTTTACAGGGATTGGTAAATGTCCCATTTTGGGTATATTGGACATCACCTTATAGACCATATACCTAATGGTTGGGTGATGTTCAATGGGGACATTTAATGACCCATGTTTTTAACCGACCATAAATCCAACAATCATTGGCATTTCCCAGGTTCTCTAGTAGCTCTCCAAGTGCCGACACCGGTGCTGCCGGCAGCGGCGAGCCGACCGGTGAGTCGAGTGAGGTGCTTTTTTTCACTGGCGGACAAGTGGCATTTCACCTGTAAAACACCAGGAGAAATGGCGATTTATCCAGTAACACTGGTGATTTACTCATATTTATATACAAATTTCGCATGATTTAGGCAGTAGACATGGTCATTCTGTGATTTAAAGCTGAGATTTTAGCAGCAAAATCTCGGATGTCCCAAAGATGTGGCCCGCGACCAAAGGCCATTGTCCAATAGGAACATCAACAACTTGGCACCTTCTCTAGGTTTGTCACCATCATTTTCTCCCGTGAAAAATGGCCATTTTGAGGGTATCCCATGTATCCCCCAGGCTGCCCAGGTACGCCATCATCCTTGGCTTTCCCCAGGCCAAACCCTAAGTCGCGGACGAGCACAAGTGCCTCATCAAGTGAAGAGCAGATCCGCAGCCCCGGGGGCGCTTGTGCGATTGTTTCGAAACACCGCGTCGAGGCGTCGAGGAAAAGTTGCGGTGTTTCACAGAAGGTGGTGCCACAGGACAAAGAACCCCTAAGTTTGTGAAAATACCTAGGTGAACTACAGGTTTTAGGGTGATTACAACATATATTGTAACTGTGGCTAGATGGGAAGAAACCGACTTGCAACTGGGGCGCACCACGTTTTTCGGGGTCGGGAAGGGCCATTGATGCCCGGTTTTTGACTGGCTGAGGACGGTCCGAGTTTTGTTACTTGAGGACTTGAGGTACCGTACCCTGAGGTACCCAACTTGGACAAGTATAGCTTGCCCATGGGTAAGATCATATAAGATAGCAAGTTCTACTCATTTTTGTTGTTGTTGATTATGTTGATTATTGCCTGTTATATCCTCTTATCTGGATTTGTCTGGAAATGGGGAGCACCCTTAAATTTTGCTGGCCGTCTTCATAGGAACAATTGAAGCTCTAAAGTATACCTGGAGTTTTGGAGTTTTCTCATCATTTTCAGCTTCCAAATCCAAATGAACCGATAGACCAAATAGATTCTTATTAACTAAAATCTATACCCCCTGGTTATTTAACATAGCCATGGAAAATTGCCCATTTATAGATGGTTCACCTATTAAAAATGGGTGGATTTTCCATGGCTATGTTAAATAACCAGATGGTAGATACACCCATTGAACCACTCATGATAAATCCATCGCTTCCAGTCGTATCTCCCTTGTCTCCGAGGTATGCTGCAGCTGGGTCAAGGCGGAATTCGGCGGAATGGTGGCCTTTGTGAATCACAGTGTTTCGTGGATCCAGCAAAGTATGCTGAGCATTCACTTGATATGGGGATGGGTCAAAACCCTGGTACCGTGCCGTGAACCCCAAAATAGCTGGGATTTATGGATGTTCATCCCACTAAAAATGTATCTATAGGTATTGACCCATACCCATATTCACCCCGCTTCGCGTGGGGTGGCCACCCACACCGCAGGTTTATTTCGGTCCGTGAGAGGGGCTAAGGGTGGTTTTCCCCCGTGGGGGCTCCCCAAGCTAAGAATTTTCACTTCCCCCCCCCGTGGGGGCTCCCCAAGCTAGGGAATTTTCACTTTTCCCCCCCGTGGGGGCTCCCCAAGCTAGGGATTTTCACTTCCCCCCCCCGTGGGGGGCTAGGGAATTTTCACTTTTCCCCCCCCGTGGGGGCTCCCCAAGCTAGGGAATTTTCACTTTTCCCCCCCGTGGGGGTTCCCCAAGCTAGGGAATTTTCACTTTTCCCGCCCGTGGGGGCTCCCCAAGCTAGGGAATTTTCACTTTTTCCCCCCGTGGGCTCCCCAAGCTAGGGAATTTTCACTGGGGCTTCCCAAGCTAGGGAATTTTCACTTTTCCCCGCCGTGACAGCTTCCCAAGCTATGGAATTTTCACTTTTCCCTCCCTTGGAGGCTCTCCAAGCTGCGGAATTTCAAATAGCTAGACAACGACGCCTAGATAGTCCCCCAAATCCCGTGTTCTTTGAATGTGTTTCCATGTTTTTGCAATGGTTTCCTTCAAAGCACGGTACTTTACACTTTTGTCGCCATAAAACCGGTCGAAAACATCATGTTCGACAATGCTTCCAATTCCCTTATCTCCCCAACCGTTGAAAATACCGCTATTTACAGTGTTTTCTTCAATTTTTCCATGTTCCAATGCCGGTAGCCAACTCCAACATATATATAAGAAATCCTTCCAAAACATTGTTTTTGACAGTGTTTTTCCAATGTTTCCAGTCAAACAGACGGTAATTTACACGTTTTTTGCCATAAAGGCAGTAAATCCTTCCAAAACATTGCTTTTGACAGTGTTTTTGTAATGTTTCCAGTCAAGCATACGGTAATTTACACGTTTTTTGCTATAACGTCAGTCCAAAACACTTGTTTTTGCAGTGTTTTCAATGCTCTGGCATCCAAAAACCCTGCAAAATCTTGCTATGTACAATGTTTTTTTCATTTTTGGCCGTTTTTCCATTGCCGGAAAGCTACCAAAATGACCCAAAAATCAATTTCAATACCCTCTTGCGCTCAGACACCCAAAAATCATCGAAAAATGTCGAAAACACCACCGTATTCTGGTCTCGGTGCAAAACCGTTTTTGGCCCCCCCAGCTAAAGCTGATATAGCGACTGCTATATTAACAAATGTCATTGAGCATTTAGTGTTGCTGTTGCCCCCCAATAAGCACGCCTTCACCGCCAAAGCGGTGTGGGCGGATTTTTCTGGCAAGATTGCTTACCCTCTAGTAAACTAACAATTTCTATGGAAAATCACCATTTTTAATGGGTAGAACATCCCATATTTTCCCCTTTTTGGTCAGAAAAACCAAACTGGGGGTATCTCCACCAGTTTTTGGGAGAACGTTGCCGTCCCTTTGGCGCGGATTTTTACCAAAAGCCTTCCAGGCTCGATGTTCTCGAAGAGAATTGGCATCGATGGATGGAAAATCGAGCCACATGCTAAGATTTGTTTTGAGATGATGTTTTGATGGGTTTTCTATTTATTTCGAGTTCTCTTTATCGGATTGGATGGGCCAAGACAATTGGAATAATTGGAATCCAAATCGAATTTTCACTTTTGGAATCAACACAACAAGCATGTGATGGCCAAAGAAATCAGGGATGATTCTTTTAATTGTTTCTTGCTAATGTTGACCAAAGGTCCAAAGGTTATTCAGGGTCGTTCAAAAAAAAACAGTGTTTCTATTTTTCGGACCAGGGTGCTGAGTTACGAAGACCCAGGATCTTGAGACGTTCGAAGGCAAAGAAAGTCGCCTCAACACACGATACACAACAGCTGCATTCGCGGACTCACAGAACACAGTCACATACCCTAACAATACAGTGGAATTATGTGGAATCTATCTATCTATATTACATATATATAATTACATATATATACACATATATATATACATATATATATATATATACATATATATACATATATACATATATATATATATACATACCTATATATACATATACATATATATGTATATATATATATACATATATATATATATGTATATACAGTATCAGTATATATAATTATATATATATATGTATACAATGACAAATAGATCCAAATAGAAACATCACCTTCTCAGGGGAGTCTTTCCCTTTTCAAATCTGCCAAAGCCATGCCGAAGAGACCCGTCTTCGAAATCCAATTGCTGAACGCAGATCTCAGCGTGAAATCTCGTCAGCGTTTGCGCGTGACCCTGGACACAGATGAGATTGAATGGCCAAACATCAGGCAGAAACTGCAAGACTTCTGCGAAAAAAAGGGCTGGGGCAACTGCAAGGTCCAGTTTCTCAACGGCACAGCGCTGGTGGAGTTGTGTGACCCAAGCAGCCTGAGGCATTACCTTGAGTTGCACTGCCAGGTTTTGGGCGGTGACACTGCGACACTGCCCCTGTGTCTGGTTCCAGATCCAACGGATGGCCCTTCTTCATCTACCATTGGTGGAGAGGAGATTGTCTTGGAAGTGGACCAGGAGGGAAGCCCGATCGTCCTGACTCTGGATTCAGACATTTTGCTGGGAGAAGGAGGCTTTGGTAAAGTGCTGCGAGCCAAAGACAGAGAAACGCTTGCTTACTATGCATTGAAGATGTCCTTCAAAGATGAAACGTCGCAGAAACACATGAAAACAGAGATTTCCACTTTGGTTCAGCTGACCCATCCCCATATCGTTAGCATCTTGCAGCATGGATATGTGTTGGATCCAGTCAGTGACCGCCTCCCAGCGTACATGATGGACTTGGGCCTGTGCTCAGTTGATGCTTTGCTCGCCACAGGATGGCACAACAAGGCAGCTGCTCATGCTGCGCAGAGAGATGTGAGTTCCGCACTGCAGCATCTTCATTCTGAAAAGTTGGGGCACATGGACGTGAAGCCTGGAAATTGGCTTGTGACCAATAAATTCATAGCGCCAGATGGTCAAACTGAGCTGGAACTCAAGTTGATTGATGCTGGTGGGGCTGGAAGACTTGACAAAGATTCTGTGACATCCTTTACTGCCGAGTATGCACACCCACTTCACAGGGGTGAAGGACTTACACATTGGATTGCAAGGTATGCCCAGGCCTATTTCGACTGGTATGGCCTGCGCATCTCAATTTTCCAGCTTGCAAATTCGGACTCTGATAGAGTTTGGACACCTGAGCAGGTCCTTGAGAGGGCATCAGAAACTCTGGCAAGTGACAAAGAGTTCGTTTTACATGCAGTCGAACAAGATGGTTTTGCCCTGCAATTTGCGTGCAAGGAACTTCAAAGCGACAAGGAGGTTGTCATGAAAGCAGTCAGACAGCATGGCTATGCGCTGCGATTTGCTTGCGACACCCTCAAGAGCGACAGAGAGGTCGTCATGCAAGCAATCAAACAGCGCCCCTCCTCTTTAGAAGTTGCCTCCAAGACACTCCGCAATGACAAGGAGGTCGTCATGGAGGCAGTCCGACAGGATGGCTTGGCACTGGAATATGCCTCCGAGACACTCCAAAGTGACGAGGAGGTTGTCCTGGAGGCAGTCCGACAGGCTGGCTCTGCTCTGGGATATGCGGACAAGACGCTTCGGAGTGACAAAGAATTTGTCACAAAAGCAGTCCGACAGGATGGCTCTGCACTGGAACATGCCGACAAGACGCTCCAAATTGACAAGGAGGTCGTCATGGAAGCAGTCCGACAGGATGGCTCTGCACTGAAATATGCCTCCAAGACACTCCAAAGTGACAAGGAGGTCGTCATGGAAGCAGTCCGACAGGATGGCTCTGCACTGGAATATGCCTCCAAGACACTCCAAAGTGACAAGGAGGTCGTCATGGAAGCAGTCCGACAGGATGGCTCTGCACTGGAATATGCCTCCAAGACACTCCAAAGTGACAAGGAGGTCGTCATGGAAGCAGTCCGACAGGATGGCTCTGCACTGAAATATGCCTCCAAGACACTCCAAAGTGACAAGGAGGTCGTCATGGAAGCAGTCCGACAGGATGGCTCTGCACTGGAATATGCCTCCAAGACACTCCAAAGTGACAAGGAGGTCGTCATGGAAGCAGTCCGACAGGATGGCTCTGCACTGGAATATGCCTCCGAGACACTCCAAAGTGACAAGGAGGTCGTCATGGAAGCAGTCCGACAGGATGGCTCTGCACTGGAATATGCCTCCAAGACACTCCAAAGTGACAAGGAGGTCGTCATGGAAGCAGTCCGACAGGATGGCTCTGCACTGGAATATGCCTCCGAGACACTCCAAAGTGACAAGGAGGTCGTCATGGAAGCAGTCCGACAGGATGGCTCTGCACTGGAATATGCCTCCAAGACACTTCGCAATGACAAGGAGATCATGGCCTTATTAGTCGTGGTTGAAGGTTAGATTAGCTAATCATAGAGCTTCTATTACCGATGCAGTAGTCTGAAAAATCAGAGGTGCTTTGTGGCAGCATGCACCATGCATTGGTTTTGGCCACAGTCCTGCCATGGATTGGGTCATATTGGGATCATTAGGATCACCGAAGATACACCGTTGTGGCAACGCTGGCTGGCCACACGACGTCTGAGAATATGCACCAAATGCCATAGTCTTTGCATCTTTGGTCTGGCTGTACTTCTTGCGTTACTGATCACCGGGTAAATCTAAGTATCATAAGTTGAGATGTGGAATTCGCATGAATTGGAACGCATTTGATGACCTAAGTGATGAGTTTCGCATGTGGAAAGGGATGATACTGATGTTTTTTCTCCCCCTTTTTTTTGGTGTTTGGACCATATTCTCAGTTTTGGAGATTCGCATGTGCCTCAGAATTCAGGCTCTGTGGTCTTCACCAATTTTTGAGGCATCCAATATTGATCCTCACCCACAACCCAAAACTACCAAATCCACATGCTACTGGTCTTACTCTACCTATCTCTGTGTGGTACCATAAATCATAAATCTATATAAATCTCCATATTAGTTTGCTGAACAAAAACCCTCTAATCCTCTATTTGTTGCTGAACAATCACTGCTTTCTTCCTGATTCTTCCCCGGAGAGTTGGCCATGCGCAGCATTCGCATGCGCAGCATGCGCAGGCGGGACCTCAAACGTGGTAAGTCAGCAGGCGACGGAATGCGGGTTTTTTTCGTGCGTAGGGAGTGATGGCCTGGGTTTTCAGGAAGCGATTTGGCTAATACTTGTCAATAATCATGGTTAATAACGGTTATTTCGAATGGTTAGAAATTGGATATAACGGGATAGGGATATTATGGTCGGAAGGTCTACTGAGTCTCCAATGAATCCGGCGTTAAATTCGTCACAGTTGTGGTTAGTTTTGCCTTCGCCGTTGCAGCCTCTTGCTTTGCTAGTCCATGGAATTGATTAAAAGGCTCTACTGACCCAAAGAGTTGAGGACATTTTAACCGATATTCGATGCAGAACTCCTCCTTTTCTACTCTATTCTTATACCCAGCTTGAAAAAACATGTTGGCATGATATTACAGGGGTCCATGCAAGATTTGCAATTTCCTAGAATTGGACAAACAATTAGTTGGGTGAACCAACGATTTGGAGGCCAAAACTGCCTTAGTCCCCAGAATGTTGGTGTCATTTCATACGTGTAAGACCCATGGCTGGTTAGTGGTTTCCAACATTTGTGAACAATGTTCAACATTCTTCAACCATCTTTGGTATCATATCCATCATATCCCCAATGAAAAACATCTGGTTTCAGTTTTTTTTTTCCGCTCGTTCAATCACCAGGTCGGTTTTCCTTGGGAAAGGTCCCTGAAATTCCCAAACTTAGGCGGCCGTCTTCGGGCTGCCGGGACGTGAAGAACACGCCCTTGGCACCCTGGGATCCCTGGGCCCCTGGGCGCGAGCTCGAGCTGAAGGTTTCCTCCAATGGGGGTACCCTAATAGCTGGATAGTTTATTTCATGGAAAATCCGATGAAAATGGATTATTTGTATGTATTCTTCAAGAACTTCATTATATATAAGGCTTATAAGGGGATGTTGTCTTGTATACATTCGGACGACGTGGATATGATTGGGATTTGGCAACTTTTGACTCATTTTCAGTCATGTATTGCTGACTTATTTTGGATGATTGGCATTCAAACCAATCACTGGGAACTCACAGCAAGGTTTCGTGGATCCGCAGACCAACTTGATCATCGTTCTGTTGTACAGTATGTAATAGTCATCTTGGTCCAACTGAAAGTATTGTAAGAACTTGTTGTTGTTACCCTTCTGGCTATTCTTAAGTATATAATAGTATATATACTTTTATTATTGTTATTATCGATTATTCTGATTGTAGTTCCGACCCTGCCGGTCTATTGGTCTTGGATTTTGCTTGGTTCCTCTGCGTGGCCCAGCTGGTTTTCTGATCATTTTTCCCCGTCGGGTAAAAATCCACGATGGTGTGGAATCATGGCAATGGCATATCCCATTAAATAGGGCTTTCCTGAAATATAGGTACTCCCCAAATATCAAATCATCTATTTTCCGCTTTAAAAAACCATCCAGCTGGGGTAAGCCTCCAAAAATCTTAGGGAAAAACCCTCCATAAATCACCGGCGTCCGCTGAGGTCAGGTGTTTCTGTCTGCTTCCCAGCTACTGGGTGAACCTTGGTAATGGGAGTTTATAGCCACCAAATCTATCTAAATTTGGAAAAATATGGGAGTTCATCAACATAGCCAGGGGCTACTGGTGCAGGGGTGCATGCTTTCGGCAACTTGAAGCTGTCGGCGTATTTAAAATTTAGGATCAACCATGTAGCTATAAGTAGGATGATGACCAGAAAACCACAAAGATGATTCAAGGAAACATCATGAAACATCTAATGCGGCAAACCCAATAAACTTACCATTTGGGGATGGTAAACATACCACCCATTGGTGATTTTGGTTCAAGGTTCGCGGCGGTGTTGGCCGTGCTGAAGTGCCGACAGCGCTTGAGAGACGATGAAGAAAACCGCCAGGAAAAAGAGCGCGGTATGGGTCAACATTGGGGCTATGGATCTCGTGAAGGTATTGTTTTTATATGATTTCTATATGATAACCATCATAAAATTATCCTAAAATCAGCCATCTTTTGGGGGGTTAAACATGTTGATCCCTGCATTCGCCATTCAAACATCGACCAACTGGTGGCCTTTGGTTCTCTTACTTTGGCCAAGTGGATACAGTGAGGATGCTAAACATCGTCCAGTACCAAGATAGGAAAAACAAATAGGCGAACCATTTGATTTTCTTCAGATTTTTGATGTTTTTTTCAAAATGAGCTTTGGAGGTCCGAACAAAAATCCGTTTGGAGATCCCAACGAGCTCATTGCAATCTGAACGGCTCCAGCGGCAGAGTCCGCAGCCGAAAAGCGCGCGCTTCGGCTGATGCTTGAGCCGGAGAAGGACGAAGGCTGGGACGGCTGGTGACATCGGTTTCCCAGTGAAGATGGTTTCCTAGTGTCGGGATGTATTTAATGGTACAATGATACCCCAAAATCATCCAAAAGCGGTTATTATCAATGGAAAAACCCAATGGTTTGGGGTACTACTGTAATATGTTTGATATGTTTGGAAACCTTCATATAGGTTATGGTTCAACATTACATCATACTGTATCATTCTTGGGTGGTCCACGTTGAAGCCCTTATTATCTCATATCCCTATATGTTTGGGGTGATTATCCATCATCCATTTCCGATCACAGAGCAGATTGCTTCAGTCGGGTTTTTCAGCTGGCAATAGGGAATGTTACCTGGAACTTAGATGGGTATGGGTCAAAATTAGGTACCCCAATAATTGGATGGTTAATACTAAACTAGACATTCACATCTGTGGTCCCACATCGGTCTTCCATTTTGACCCACATCCAGATAAACTTAGATAAACTTAGATAAACTTAGATAAACTTAGATAAATGTGATCAGCTGAAAAACCTGGAACTTATAGTGACGGACTGAAACTTAGAATGCCGCACCCCTTCAGGTCGCGCTGTCCTAAAGAATGCCGCCGCGGCGGCAAAATCTTAAAAAACCCTGGTAAAATGCAATTTTCGGGTTGCAGCAATTTGACCTGGTCTTTTTGTAATGAGTCGTTCGTAGGTAAATTTTGTGAGAATTTACAGCGTAATATGAGATTGAGTGCCACACATAGAATGCCTCCGGCCAAAAAGTCCAGGTCACAGCATGTCAAACATTTGAAGCCCATATTTTCAAAATACTCGGTATACGTGGGGTTTTATGTACTTTGTGCAGCCCACATAGAATGCCGCCAAAAACATATACAAATGTCATCATTCTGTTGCAAAATCTCTGTTTTTTTTGTGAAACACATGGTTTGAAGGATTGTATAAATTTACTATTTCATATGAATAATTGTATATAAATCCAATCTCATGGGAGGTATCCTTTCCTTTTTCCTTTCCTTTTTCCTTTCCTTTTTCCTTTCCTTTTTCCTTTCCTTTTTCCTTTCCTTTTCCTTTCCTTTCTCCTTTCCTTTCTCCTTTTCTTTCTCCTTTCCTTTTTCCTTTCCTTTCTCCTTTCCTTTCTCCTTTCCTTTCTCCTTTCCTTTCTCCTTTCCTTTCCCCTTTCCTTTCTCCTTTCCTTTCTCTTTTCCTTTCTCCTTTCCTTTCTCCTTTCCTTTCTCCTTTCCTTTCTCCTTTCCTTTCTCCTTCCCTTTCTCCTTTCTTTTCTCCTTTCCTTTCTCCTTTCCTTTCTCCTTTCCTTTCTCCTTTCCTTTCTCCTTTCCTTTCTCCTTTCCTTTTTCCTTTCCTTTTTCCTTTCCTTTTTCCTTTCCTTTTTCCTTTCCTTTTTCCTTTCCTTTTTCCTTTCCTTTTTCCTTTCCTTTCTCCTTTCCTTTCTCCTTTCCTTTTTCCTTTCCTTTCAACCATAAACGGTTTTACCTTAGAATGCTGCCAAAATGTTACACAT